AATGTATTATGCAAGTAAGTTAAAATAATTGCACAACACAAATACAAAAGTAACATCAAGATTTTAAACAAAATTATAAAAAAATAATGCAGAACTATAAAATTTGACAAAATACATACCTCATATAAAAGTTAATATCAATGGCAGAAAATTATTTGATAGTGAAGAATATGGTCTTCATGAAATAAATTTAATTTGCTAAACTCGCCTGCGTCGTCCATGAGCCAATACACCTAAAATATGATATTATATAATATACAGATAGGTTTAAAAGATATAAATATAATATTTTATAGCATAATTTTTAACATTATTTGTTTATTCACTGAAAGCTTCATTAAGAATATATATATATATATATATATATATATATAATATTTATATATTAAATACAAAAAAATTGAGTCAATGGAAGTGGGTATTATGTTCCTCATCCCAACCTAATAACTTAATAAGGTATCCATCTCACCCTATTCCTAATGCATAATCCTTTGAAGATAGCTTTCGGTACAAGTATTTTCACCATCCAAGTACCCATATATTTTATACGACCAATCTTGATTTATTTAATATAATCTCATATAATTTTTTCATATATAAATACTTAATAATGAGTCTTGTAAATTAATATAACTTCATTTAATCTTTATAAGACAACATTGTTTACTCTTGTAAGTATTTGATTAAATCATTTATAACTTTTTAAAAATTCTTAATATTAGTTAAAAGAATCTTCTAACTATTTTTTAGTAATTATTTTTGGCATTAATACATAGTATTATCATAAATAATAGAATAAAATAAAAAGACAAATTTAAACTTTAACAAATGATCAAAATTGAAGGTAACTCTGTCCATTATAGAAAATCTAGAAATTATGTCTGTTAAGGGCTCTCAGCCCCTTATGTTAAAAAATAATTAGCAGATTTTTTGTGAATCAAACTGTAAAAAATATATATTATAAAAGAAAATTTCAATTTTTAACCTACATAAAATAAAGAGAAATTATTAAAGTAAAAAAAAGTAAAAATGTTATCCTAAATTATAAAAATAAAAAATGGTAAATAAATAAAAAGATAAAAAAATATCATAAGAAAACATTTCAAGAATTAAAAAAATACCACTCTTTAATTTTATATTTATAATATGTATCACAAAAAATAAATACTCTCAACATATGTAAAATAAGTGAAAAATAAATTTTAATATTGTACTTAAGGGTGTGGGGGTTTATGGCAAGTTTTGGGAAGACAATCACAAACAGTGCAAGTTTGAGTTCGAGCAGAAAATTGTCAATTTGTCGTGTCGTGATTAAGACTAAAAAATTGCTAACGAAGAGGGGGAGAAATCTCTACTGCGACGCTCCACATCCCTGTGCAGTGGTGCGCAGGGGAATCTCCCCTATTCAAAAGTTGCTAATAATATGTTGTGGAGCTATTAATTCAGTGAAGAAAGTGCAGATTAAAAACAGAGAAAGGAGGAGTGCAGATGCAAACTAAATTAAATTAAGAAGCAGCACAAAGAAAAAGTAAAAAGACACTAAAAAATTAGAGAGAAGAGAATTTTTATAATTCAGTAAAAAAAGAAGATAAAGAGTGTGTTTAAATTTGTTTAAAAATATAGAAATTTGTAATTAACAGAAAAAAAATTCATGATTCAACCTTAAATTCATGTAAAAATATTTTAGAAACAAATTTAAAATTATGATGTAAGTAAATTTAATTATATTTTAAATTATTTAAATATTGTAGTTTTAATGTTACTATTGATACTAATTTTATTACAAAATATATTGTAACAAAATGTTTAATTTGATATTAATTTAACTATTAATTTAATCATACAAATTTATATTGATGTATAATATTATATTTTAAAATATATACAGTAAGTATTAACATAAAAAGTATTATTATTTAATAAATATTGATTAGGATTATTGAAATATTTATTAGTATTTCTTTTAATATATTTTACTTAATAAACAGAACGTGAATGTTATATATTTAACAAATGTAAAAAAGAAAAGAAGTTAAAAGTGTTTAAATAAATGTCATTGATATTTGTGTAAATTTTTTAATGTTACTGTTTATATATATATATATAATATGAAGGTTTAAGTTATTGTAAATAAAATGGATTTATCATTGCTACAAGTGTTACTTTATTTTGGAAAATATTGTGAAAAAAGTTAAATTAAATATAAGAAAAATGAAGTTTTTTGGGTATAAAATGTTACTTTTTTTATTTAAATTGATTAAATTTTGGTGTAAAAATGTTAATTTTAATTGTTGTTAGTGTTAAAATATAAATATTAGTATTTGTTTAAAATTTGTTATGGAAATTAATAATTTTTTATGGTTTAAAGTGTAAATTATTTATGTTTATTTTTTATGATTACTTTTAGGAGTAAAAAGTGTATGTAAATTATTTTTAATTTTATTAATATTAGTGTTAGGGATGGCAATGGGTAAAGTACCCGATGGGCACCGGCAAAATTTACTCACAATGGGTAGGATATTTACCCGTTATACGGGTACGGGTATAGATATGGGTAAAAACTCGCAAAATTTAATGGAGATGAGTGTGGGTATAGGTATGGGTATCTAAGTACCTACCCTGCCCCATACCCGCATATATATATATATATATATATATATATATATATATATATATATATGCTTGAACTTTATTCTACAATTATGCATTGAATTTTTATATTATTATATTACTTATATAAAGTTATATAAGATTAATATACAAATATATTTAATAATAAAGTAAACCAAAAAATTTATTTTGGATTATATTTTTAATAGAAAAATTTATTTACTATTTTATATCATTTAATTAGGCTAACACAATTTAATTATTACATAGTTAATATGAGATTGATTTTTTAAAAAATATTATTTATATATGACACACATAAAATATTTTTTACACAAATATTTTTGTTAATAAAATCATATTGATATTTAAATCATAAAGTGAATGATAAATAATAAATATATTATAAATATTTTATAAATTTTACAATCACCTACTATTGCGTAAACTTATTATTTATTTATTAATAATATTTAAATTTTATTTTTTATATTTTAATTAAAAATAATATTTTTCTATGCAACATATGTATTACAAGCACAACTATGATCTATTAAATCTAAATAATATTATTCTTACTATTTATTCACATTCAAAGAAGTTTTTGAAAAAATATAAATATAAAAAATTATTGTTAATTTTTTTCAGATAAAAAAGTATAATTTTTTTAATATACACGTATATTTCTTTATTATAAAATTTTATTGTAACTATTTATCTTTTATTCAAATTCTTTCTTTTAAAATTTATATACATTATAAATATTTAATTCACTAAAATAATTTTTCAAAAATTTATATTTTTAATAAAATACTTTCGTATAGTACATGAGTTAAAAAAATACTAGTATTAATATATATATATATATATATTAATTATATTATATTGTTTTAATTAAATCTATTATTTTTCTTACAATTTCAAATTCAAAAGTTAAAAAAAATATTTTATGTATCCAGTTGTTAGTATTGAACTTCTCTACTCTAACTCTATTCTCATTCTCAATGTCTGTCTCACTAAAACTTAACAACTATGAAACGTTATTCATTAGAATTAGTTGTCAATGCCGTCACAAGAAGTTACTAAGTGATACCACACGAAGGGACAACCATTGTACAGATCTATTTTGTTGTCGCTCTAACATTACCAATCAATCAAATCTCACACAAGATAGGATTATCACTGACAAATAACTTGTGTGTTTAGTTTTGCTTATTGTTTCTAAGAATTTTAGTTTAGAAAATTATTATATTAAGATATATTTAACGTTTATGATCTTTGAATATTTGTTTGTTATCTATGTTTGTACCTTGTTCGGCAACTACATATTGAATTTTTGTATTATTATGCTACTTATGTGAAGTTATATAAACATGTTTTTCTTTATAAATATTTTTTTCTCAAACAAGCTCAGATAATGGGTACAAGACGGGTATGCGGGTACCCAAAAGGTACGAGGATTAATGTTCATAACCACGCGGTATGAGGCCAGGTACGGATATTTTTTTAAAACGCGGGTATTAGTGTCAATTAATTTGGAAATTTTTTTGAAATAAAAATGAAAAATAAAAATAAAAGAAAAACATTTAACAATTTATTGGAAGTAGTTATTTTCTTTTATTCTTAATATTTTTATCATTAAACTTAAAAGTGAGTTGTTCATCTAATATTATAATTTTTTATAGAATAAATATATTTTTATATTCAGTGTGTAGAAGACAAGGGAAAAAAGTAAAACGAGATAAAGTAAAATAAAAAATATATTAACACTTACTTCTAAGTAAAAATGTGATAAATAGTGTAATAAAAAAAGATAAAATAAATATAAGGGAAAGTGAATTAAAAATATAAGAGTACTGGAAGTAAAGGGTGTAAGTAATGTTATGTTAAAAAAGAAAAAAAAGAAAAAAAAGGAAGAGAAAGTCGTTGTAAAAATAAGAGAATAAACAAAGAAGAAAAGATGAAATTGTGGCAAAAGCAAGTACAGTAATAGTATAAAACCAATTTAACATGAAAAAACCAATGAAAACCGCCGTGGATGAAGAGACAAATATAAAAGAATCCCTTGCAAAACAATGTCCAAATACATAAGATTGCAGCAAAACGCAGCCACACCCTCAATTCACCCTTCTGCTAGCTGATCAAGATCGCCGCGTGCGACCGTCTACATCTAAACTCCGGACCACAAATTCTAACCTCAAAACCATTTTTCTCTTCTGCCACATCATTTTTGTTTATTTCAACACTCGTCAACCTGCATGCCACACCACAGCCAAATGTCCATGCATCTTAACCACATCCCCTCCCTTCCATAACTATAAATACTACTGTTATCACCCCATATTCTCATCATCCATCAAGAGTACAATAATTTAAGAGATACAGTAGCCACCATGATGAAAGCTCGTTTTCCACTGTTGCTGTTGCTTGGAATTCTTTTCCTAGCTTCAGTTTCCGTCTCATTTGGCATTGCCCACTTGGAAAAGGAGAGTCCCAGTTACAAAAGGTGCCTTCAGAGTTGCAAGAGAGAGCAAGATGTATTCAAGCAACAAGCATGCCTTGCTCATTGCCAGATCTTCGAGGACCCTCAAAGCAAAAAGGCCCAAGAAGAAAAAGAACCTCCATCACATGAAGAGAAGGAACATGCAGAATCACACAGACAAAGCGGACACCAGGAGGGTGAGAAGGAGGAAAAGGAACATCAAGAGCAAGATCAACCATCGCCACGCCCACGTCCACAACCACGCCAACCTCATCCTCCCCAGGAAAGCGAGCACAAGCACCAGCAAGAAGAGCCCGAACAAGAAGGGCAAGATCAACCAGGACAACGTCCACAACCACGCCAACCTCATGCTCCCCAGGAAAGCGAGCACAAGCACCATCAAGAAGAGCCCGAACAAGAAGGGCAAGATCAACCAGGACCACGTCCACAACCACGCCAACCACATGCTCCCCAGGAAAGCGAGCAAAAACACCAGCAAGAAGAGCCCGAACAAGAAGGGCAAGATCAACCAGGACCACATCCACAACCAAGCCAACCTCATCCTCCCCAGGAAAGCCAGCACAAGCACCAGCAAGAAGAGCACCAACAAGAAGGGCAAGATCGACGACGTCCACGTCCACAACCACGCCAACCTCATCCTCCCCATGAAAGCGAGCACAAACACCAAGAAGAAGGGCAAGATCAACCACAACCACGCCAACCTCATCCTCACCAGGAAAGCGAGCACAAGCACGAAGAGCACCAGCACCAACAAGAAGAGCAGGATCAACCATTTCCACGCCCACAGGAGCATGAGCACAAAGAACAGAGCAAACATCATAACAAAGAGCAGGAGAGCGAGAAAGAGCAAGGTCCAGAATCAGAACCACAGAAACCAAAGAACCCTTTTCACTTTAACAACAACAAGTTCCACACACTCGTCAACAACAAATTCGGTTACATTCGTGTTCTCCAGAGGTTCGAACAGCGCTCCAACAAACTCCAGAACCTCCGAGAATTCAGAATTGTTCAGTATAAGTTCAAACCCAACGTCTTGCTTCTCCCCCACCACGCTGATGCTGATTTCCTCCTTGTTGTCCTCGACGGTAATTAAATAACAATCATTTAAATCATCACTTGTTTGTATTAATCAATTAACAGTTAACCAATGACGACTAACCTTAATCAATATGTTAATTATATTGGGATTAATTGCAGGGAGTGCCTTAATTACCTTGTTGAGCCCTGACGAAAGAGAGTCTTACAAACTTCAGCGTGGGGATGCACTCAGAATCCCAGCAGGTACCCCATTCTATCTGCTTAACCCAGACGACAACCAGAATCTCAAAGTAGTAAAACTCGCTGTACCCGCTAACCAACCCGGCAAAGTCCAGGTACACTGCTTAATAAAAATTAACATTAGATTAACTAATTCAAGGCACTGCTTACTTACATTCCCTTCTCTATTCTATAGGATTTCTTCCCGTTTAGCAGTGAAGATCAAGAATCCTTCTTGCGCGGGTTCAGCGAGAATACTCTTGAGGCCTCCTTTGATGTAAGCAAGCAACGCATCAATATCTAATTTGTCTAAATTTAATTCACGTGTAATTAATTTTGTTACACTAAAAAATGACCATCATGCTCTAATGGTTACATTGCAAATATAGGCACCATTCGAGGAGATAGAGAAGACTCTATTGGAAGAGGAGGAGCAAGAGGTGGGAGTGTTAGTGGAAGTGTCAAAGGAACAGATCCAGGAGCTGAGCAAAGACGCCAAATCCAGCTCAAGAAAATCCATTTCCTCTGAAAATGAACCTTTCAACTTGAGAAGCCGAGGCCCAATCTATTCCAACAAGTTTGGCAAGTTCTTTGAGATCCCCCCACACAAAAACCCACAGCTTCAGGAATTGGATATCTTCCTCGACTGTGTAGAGATTAAGGAGGTATGTATGCAAAACACCCACAAACAAACTAGGGTATACCATTATTCCCTACAATTAATTATTTGCATGCTTGATTCTTTGCTAATGAGACTTAGAAATACCCTTTTTTTTAAAAAAATTAGGGAGGTCTTCTTCTGCCACACTACAATTCAAAGGCCATAGTGGTACTAGTGGTTAACAAGGGAAAAGCAAAACTTGAACTTGTGGGTTTAAAAGAGCAACACCAAAAGCAAGAGCAACAGCAAGAAGAGGAGGAGGAACAAGAAGGACCTAGAAAAGTGCAGAGTTACAGAGCCAAGTTGTCTGAAGGCGATATATTCGTAATTCCAGCATCCTACCCAGTTGCCATCAACGCTTCCACAGATTTTCATTTGGTTGCTTTTGGTATCAATGCTGAGAACAACCAAAGGAACTTCCTCGCAGGTATATATTGAATATTAATTTCTGTTATTATGGCATGAAAACGTAGTTGATTGGGTTATTTACTTGGTGATTGAAATTGTGAAGGTGAGAAAGACAATGTGATAAGTCAGATACATAAGCTAGTGAAGAATCTTGCGTTCCCTGGGTCTGGTGAACAAGTTGAGAAGCTACTGAAGAAGCAGAGCGAATCCTACTTTGCTGATGCTCAGCCTCAGCAAAGTGAGGAGGACAATAAGGGAAGAAAGGGTCGTCTATCTTCAATTTTGAACGCTTTTCACTGAATAACTACGTAACTCGTATGTAGTATGGTGCTTAAGAGCTCCCGCAGTGAGCAAGAATAATATCAGTATTGGTAACAACTGGAGTTATACCTTTGTACTTTGAATAAATATTAAATAAATGAAGCACTATGGTTTTGCATTTTGTGGACATTCGTACATTTGCTTTGCTAATTTGATGTGTTCATGGCACGTACTTATTTGTATATATACTAACGCACTTTATATCTGAAGTTAAATTATGTGAATTATGATTGGCCTGAAAGACGGTACATCGGATATATCCTCAACAAGCGTTACATACCAGTAAACCAATTTACTTTCCATTTTCAAATCTACCATTTGATAGTTTAAACTCCTGTTAATTCCATGCAAATTCACTGGATAAACTAGGATAAACGTAAAATATAGATATAATTTTTCTATATAGGCAAATAATAGTTATTCAAGGATTTGAATACAAAACACATTTGCATTTGTAATTACAGGAGTTATCATTCTGAATTAATTAATTAACATATGGGTATATATAGAAATGTGTGCACATTTTGGTAAGTGGGTAGGTGAGAATTTAAGTAAAAGTTACATGTTTAATAAATCTTGACATTTTAAGTGTACTAATCCCCATACAAATATCTAGCCCTAACTTAATGTTAAATAAGTAACCTTAATTCTTTACGTAGCGTAAAATAGAATAGGGCCTTGGTAGGAAAATAGCTCTTTAAATAATTATAAAAAGCAAAGTTAATCGAGAAAAAATAAAGAAAAATTTTAAAAATCTTAAACTTGCATATTAATATATCTGATATTATAATCTTCAGTCAACTTTAATCCTTAAATTTTAAATTTTATATAATTTTCCTTTTTATAAAAAATTATTTATTTTGTTCTTTACTATTACAATAACATAAAATAAAAAGATTAAAAAAAATTTCTACAAAATTTAAACTGAAAGAGTCAAGTATTAAAATAATTTGTGTTTACTTTCTGAAAATGCCACAATATCTTTTATTTAGTTTTTTTAAGTACGTCCAATGTTATATAATGATAAATAATAATTTTTTACTAAAATTATCATATTTAATAATAGTAGTATATTAAAATTTATAATTTTTATGAAATATATTATATATAAATTTTTATTATATGTTATTAAATATGCTTCAAAAATTATTTTATTTCATTTAATCAGTGTGATATTGTTTTTATAACGCTGAAATTCTCCGATCTCTTAAAGCCTTGAAAACCACGAACATTGCAGCATGACCCGTCTGATTTTCCGGGCCTATAAAATTCTCACTGAATCTAATATCCATAGCCAGGTTCAGTTCTTCATTCTTGAACCACCCCTGTCCTCTTCCAATTTTACTAATTTGCCTCGGCGAATTGCCAAGAAACACATGGCCCACTTTCATCGGCTACCACTCTAATTCTTGGCCTTCTTATTATATTCAATATTTCAGCGGCTTGTTTGTCACTTTTTTTCTTCTTTTAACAATTTTTATAACATGATAGCATATCAAATTGTATGTGTACCTACGGCTGCAAAAATATATATGTCTACACAGAGAAAAAATGGTCTAGAACTTACACATTATTACAAAAAAAATTTAACCGTCTACTAAATTTCACTCTTTTGCAGTCATATCCAAGGCGAAGACCTGTGAACTATCTGTGACAGGAGGGGGTTGTCCAGATATAGAAGAATGCAAAGAAAAGTGTCGTCCTTGTTATCGGGGCATATGTAAAATCCACGTATATGTGTGCCCGCAGGTGAGGCATTCCCTTTGATGAATGTATTTGCAGAATGATGAAAGGTGCAACCTGTGATCCACTTGGACCACCGCGGTACCCCAGACAATGGCCACCTACGGCCACTGTTGGCACCAACGACTCTAACTCACAATGCCACTCTTTAAAGACTGCTAACCTACACAATGCAGATTACTTTTTACGCTATGTGACTGATAGTAACCCTTTACATTTCAATAGATAAACAATGTACGAGATTTTATATTCTTATCCAAGTTATTTTTCAACCACTTACAACAAAACACAAAAGAACAAATTTATGTTATCATTTTTTTACTGAATTAAAAATAAATATATTAAAAATCATATTTTTTTAAAAAAATTTGCATGAGTTACTATAAAATACTTTTATAAAAATATCATTTCTGATCAAATACTCATTTATATAGTTTAAAACATAAAACAAGATACAAACTTCGTATATTCATGCTGCTTGAAATGTCTATACTTTCATTTGATATAATTATAAAAATGACTTTTTATTAGACAGTATTTTGTGTGTGTAAAACTAGTAATTATTCTCACATTCTTTATTACTCACTGCTTTCTTAAACATATTACAATATTATATCAATTTTAATTTTAATCAAATATATCATGTGTATAAATTTAATTTTAATTCTCTCGTTAAATGTTCTTAAACATATAATAATATTACGCTATCGATGAACTTTTTTATTAAAAAATTTCCCATAAAATACAATGTTTCATATTGTTCTGGTATTAAATATTTTAAAATTAAAATCATACATAATATTACATATAATTAATTTTTTATTTATTAAATATATATATATATATATATATATATAAAACATCTTCCCAAATTAAAAAATATATATCTATTTTAAATGTCAATAAAACAATTTCCAAGCCCAATATGATACATAATTAATTGCATAAGTTACCACTTGAGATAAAACCATTTTAGAAAGATTAATAAATTTTTGTTTATAGAAACTTAGATAAAAAAAAAGTAATATAAATTTTTTTTATATAGAAAAATAATATAATTTTATTTAATTTTTAAATTTTTTTATATATACTCAAATTTAAACTTAAAATTTTACTTAAACGATATTAAGCTACTTTTCACTTAAAATAACTTCCGTTGGTAAAATAATATTATAAAGTAATATAATTTTTAATACAATATGTTATCTATTTATTCATTTAAAATATATAGATACTTATCCCACGAACTAACTTAGACAAATCCTTAACAGCTTATCTATTTGGACATATAGACTTGTTCCACGCGCGCAAATCAAATAAAAAAATCTTAAGGTACTACTTTTAAACGCATATTATGACGCGGGCTTCATTCGGTCTGATTAAAAAAAATTTAACTTTAAAATTTATTAATTCTCTTAACTTCAGTTTTTAAGATTAAATATAAATATTAAATACAATGATTTTTTAAAAAATAATTTTTACATTAAAAACAAAATTATAATAATTTAAAACAAATATATTTAAGTGAATACTCGTTTTACCTATTATATTGGGGCAAGAGAGAAGAAATCAAGGAAAAGAAAAAATAGTATAAAAGACTGGATAATTTTAATTTGAATAATAATTTTTCCTATTATTTTAAAAATACTTGCGGATGGCATATTACACACAATATTTATTGAATATTTTAATTAGAAAAAAATTTATATATATTTGAGATCTTCAAGAAACTAGATAATAAAATTTAGCTTAACCAATAAAAATAGAATGCAAAGTGACTCATTATCACTTAATTAAGATTTTATATTTGAATCTTTATATATAAAAAAAAAATTAATAATAAATTTATTCATCACATCCAATTACATCACATGAAAAAAAAATTAAACTTAATGTGTAGCAGAGACCGATAGATTGATAAAAATAAAAGAAATTCATGGATGACATTTTATTAATATCGTCGTCATTGTTGTTAACAACAAGAGGAGCCAAAAAGAATTAGAACGCCTGTCTACAAATACAATGCTACATCGCTACAGATTCTTAAAAGCTATTCAAAAACCATTGTAGTCAACTTCGGTGCATTCTACCAATCAACCCTTGCCACGTCCTTCGGTTCCTTTTCGGCCTTTTTCTATTCTTCCTTTTTTGGGTCATCCCTTTTCAGTTTAATGCAGCTAAACATAAATAATCGGAGTTATTTAACACAAAAAAAACATGATAGAAAATCAGTTACTTATCATAGAAAGCACCTTCAGTAAGTAACGATTTTTTCTTTAAAAATATGAGTTTCACTGTTTATTATTATTGAGATAAGTATGAGTTGCAGAATTAAAAATGGTCTAGTGCTTCTCGTTCTGGGCTGATATGAAGTCCTGGTAGTCTTTCTCAGTTGGTACAGGTAACGTGCTTGATTCAATGTTCCTTAAGCCAGCCGGTGGTGAATCTACAACAACGTAAAGAATAATAATAATAATAATTAATTAGTAGACTAAATAGAACAACAACGTCGACACTACTATATTATCTGTTATTATTTTTTTAATCTTAAAATATATATAGGGAGAGAGATAAGATTAACAAGGAAACAAAAAACTTACGTCCCCAGAATGGTGAACCTTCGCACTGGCCATCACACCACCAATTGCAGAAGCCCGTGGGGAATACGCAATTTTTGTTGCAACGAGCGGTGCACTCTTGTTTGCGTTTGGTCTCATCCTGAGCATTCACCTCAATACCTGCAGCCACCACAAGGCACACCACCATTAACACTGCAACGTATTTATTTCCCATCTTGGTTTTCGGATTTCTTTTGCTCTTGTTGCTACTTTATTTTATTCACTCCTTCCTCTCCTTCCATGGTAGGTATATATAGCTTCTTAAATGGTTCATGAGCCTCACAGAATGTCATTGTTCGTTCCTCAAGTTTCGGGTTCTTGTTAGACCCAAGGCCTCCTAAATTAAGAAAAAGAAGAATTCGAATTTGATGAATTGTTACAAATGGCACACTCTTCATTGCCTTCCTTCCCCAATTCTTGGTATCTTCGCATGGAAAGTGCTTCTTAACGTGGACCCAGTCTAAATTTATAGAATCGACTTTAAGTTTAGATGATTTATTTGTCTAAACAAATTTTGTAACATATTTATATTATTATATTAATTGATCAGCACTCCCTCTCAAGTTTTATGACCTAGTATATTTACCTTCCTTAAAAAAATAACTCTTTTTTACGTAA